CCTCAGACGTCTATGAAATGGATTCTTTTAATCTGGTAAAAAAGAGAACCCCTGGGGGTATGGGTTTATTGAACCTTCAAGGAAAATCGGAGCGCCACCGAGTAGTTTCCAGCCAATAGAAATTCACTTTTCACCACGGTTTCCACTGCGATTCTTCACTTTTTCCTATCTGGGGAAGCATTTTGAATCAGATACCCAGTTCCTAGCGATTCAAGGAATCGCGGAATGATAATCGTAATTGTGAAATACGTTTTTTTTTTTTTTTCTTGATAGGATGGTAGATGGTGGGTCCGACTCCGCCCACATGACCACTGTGGATTACGTCTTCAATCAAATCGAAAAATTTGCCAGAGAGCGGTTAGCTTTGAAACAACTATTCAGGATACGTTGTGTGGTTCAACTCCACCGACGGCGAGAAAGAGTACACGTTGGCATCTCCCCACGAGAAGCACATCGTTATGGGTCTTGAGCCGGATACGACCTATGCATTTCGGTAGGCACTATTTTTTCCTACTTAGTGTTGCAACTTTACTTTATGAACCTTCTTCGGCAAAAATTAGAAAAGGGGTTGTATATCCAGGCGCCCTCTCCTCACTTCATTTTCAGAGTCGCAGCGATCTCAGCTCGAGGGCAGGGCGAATTTTGTGAGCCCGTTGTGATCAGGACCTTGCAATCGAGTAAGTTCAACGCAGTTTTTCTACTTGCAGAGCACACCATCACGTTGTGTGAGATTTGGCCTGTGTCTTTACGACCCTGCCAAACTAGATTCCAGTCAGTTCGCGCCCCCCCCCCCACTTTACAACCACTTTACCAACTTTTCTGAAAAATTCGAAAGGCTGGAGTTGAGTAAAGTGAGAAGTAGGCATACAACTCCGATTAACTAACAGAACAGTTATGTGTGCTGCCAACTAAGGATGGGGAGGATTAGACCCCTCTTCGACGGCCAATCATGACCCCCGCCCTCCCCCCCCTTGGGTTTTGCACAACGGATGATGTGCCCTGCCTGCATGAGTTTTTGTACAGTACTTGTGTTCGTGATGTACTCATTGTGCAGCGCCTACCGGACCCCCACGCCTTCTGAACGTCACCGCTATCTCGTCTACGGCTCTGCATGTGCTGTGGGCTGCTCCGAATGCTAGCGAGGGCCCTGTGGTTCAGTATCGTGTACGGTACCGTGTTGTGACCACCGAGAATGCCACATCGTCGGGTGAGAGCACGAGCTATGAGGAAATCGTCGACGATGAGATTCTTGCCACGAAGGCACCCATTTGGCACAGCATTCTGTGGAACGCAAGTGATGTGGTGGTGAATGTGACTGGCTTACAACCGTTCACCGTCTATGAGGTCACCGTCGCAGCTGCCACTGTAAATGGCTTTGGACCGGAGAGTAGCCCGCTACGACGACGGACTCATGAAGATGGTGAGAATCTTGGTTTGGTCGATATTTTCTTAAAGTTGATGTTTTCAGCAGACAATGAAGATTCTCTCCCTGGTAAGTTGGTGTTGTACAGTAGTGTACTGTGATTTCCATAGCTAAGAATTGTAAGGCTGACGAGCAAGCCCTACAGTCTTCCACGCTGATTTTCATGAGCACAGCCCGGATAAGTTCCCCTTCCTTATCGAAGAGTCCCTCGTCCTAAGATGACAAAGGCGAGAAACACATCAACAAGGAAGACGCAGCGCCTAAGTTTTTCCGCCCATACGATCAGCGTGGAATGAGTCTCACAAGTCAAGAACAGATGATCACAGATCCACCATACCCCGCAAGAACATTAAATAAAAAGGATATTCGAAAGGAAACGGATCAATAAGTTAGATAAGTTTGCGTGTGGTTTACAAGTTGATTTTCAGCAGTAACTGAGAGGTAAGGACTCAAAATAGCCTCACATGAGACTAGATAAAGCCACCATTTCGTACATAGTTGGCAAGTAGCCTGCGTTTTATGACTTATGGGCACGCGATAGTCGTAGTTCGTTCGCAGTAATGCGTAGCGTTAGCTCTAGCTTAGCGCAGCGTAGCGTAGCGCTTCCAGCGTACGCCAGCGGCAGTGCCGAAGAGAGGATGCATATCGATCTAGCTTCACCAGCGTCACCAGCGGCACGCTAGCGTACGCTAGCGGCACGCTAGCGTACGCCAGCGTTTCTCCAGCGTTTCACCAGCGTTTTGCTAGCGTTGCAGCGCAGGGGATAGAGGACTATGTGGCAGCAGAGACGGGAATCGACGCGTCATTGTAGAGACTATGGGGCCGTCGAAGACGCAGAAGCGATGTGCATTGTAGAGACTATGGGGCCGTCGAAGACGCAGAAGCGATGTGCATTGTAGAGACTAAGGGCCGTCGGAGACTGTCAGAACGCGACCCACCGTCTGTGCATTGTAGAGACTAAGGGCGAGTGAGAGACGCGCAATCGATGTGTTTTGTACCCTCCAGCTCTCCCATAGTCTCTACTCCCCTGCCGCTGCAAACGCTAGCAAAACGCTGGTGAAACGCTGGAGAAACGCTGGCGTACGCTAGCGTGCCGCTAGCGTACGCCAGCGTGCCGCTGGTGACGCTGGTGAAGCTAGATCGATATGCATCCTCTCTTCGGCACTGCCGCTGGCGCGTACGCTGGAAGCGCTACCTACGCCTTACGCTACGCTGCCCGCAAAGATATAAACGCAGCCTAAAGCAGCGATCGGATCCCTTTCCTTCGGGAAAGAGTTACTAAAGAGTTGTCTTCCTAGACCCCTGGAAGGTATGAGAAAATGCAGAGGCAGCACAGCAAACTTTCCGAAAAAAAAAGAAATTCTCAGAGAACGGAGATGACCTGCCACACGACTACGAATTATGCTAATGCTTTAGGCACATTACGATCTTTGAGGGGAGCATCTTCGAGCTTGCCTTTATTTACTTTTGTATGCTAGTGGCCATGCTAATTCCCGACAATGCCTGTTCAGAAACGAGCTTTGCCAACAGATGAACAGCAGCTCGTGTTGCTGATTGTTTGAGTCATGGATTAGCCGTGATCTTGGCTCTAATCATTCAATAACCAGCTCGAACTGTCGGCCACCCAGCCGTCGTTGTACCGTAACCGAGCCCCGCTTCAGTGATAACTCGTCCCAAAAGCTTAGCGTTAAGCACTGATCGGCTTAGACTTCGATAATCCCCACCTTACCTCTCGGAAACTCACTTGCAACACAGCATTAGCAGAACCCAATGTCTAAGACCAATTCAGGTCTGCAAGTATCTAAATCCAGCCTCGCTCTTGATCTTCGAATAAGATGTGGCATATTTCACTGGTGTCCCAGCTAGATTTCTTGAGCGTCGTAATCCACTTTGTCATCTCTCTGAGCCGACGGGACAGTTGTCAGGACCTTAGAATAGCCCATCAGCGGCGCTTTGGCAGCCCCCCTGTTCCCAGACTGTTTTGCCGACGACAAGTCGCTTCGGTTCACGCGCTCTATCGCCTCGCATCACATGCAGTTGGAAGCTACTGACGCAATCGAATCGAAGGCCGCGACCTGACAGCGCTGCCCGTCGTCACTGAAGTCCTGATACGCCAGCCCTCTACTGCCAGTTGTTCTTCCTACCTGAAAAAGATTCCTGCCACTACTGTAGAAATGTCACGGGCGAATAAAAATAATAAAATTTCCCCCCCCTCCGGATTGCTGGACCATGCAACCGTAAATCAAACGCAGATCTGCGCCTCTCCCTCCCCCACCCCCTTGAAGATCTTCCCAAAACATCTGTGTGGCTGATCTTGAAACACGGGAAGTCATTCGCCGCGTGAAAAAATTATATTTCTGGCCAAGTGCCGACTCTTCCTATCCACCAACCAGACCACTCTACCCCGTTAGTAATTATCCTGACGATGCGCACGTGGAAGAAGTTCCTGCATTGACGTTCGTGAACGGAAACTTGGCTGGGTTCTTGTGAAATGGGAAACAATCCAGCCCTTATCGTTTTATTCTTTAACATCAAAAACTTCAATGTACTTCCTCCCATATCACAGACATCATGGAAGGCTTTTTTTCAATTTTTGTTGCTCCCATGAATGTGGACCACTTTTGCCTTTTCTTGTAAAGAGTACCTAAAGAGACATTGCGAGTCCCGTGCTTTGTGAGAAGAAGCCAACTCTATTCTATAGCAAACAATCAATGCCTTCCCTCCAGTTCTTCTGTTGTTACGCACTAGCTCACCGATGGAGCAGCTAAACAAGCAGATTTCGGTATTTTTTCCACTACATATCCTTCACGCGAACAGGCCGTTCACAGCTAATAAAACGCCTCGCTGCTGGGCTCTGTTGGCTCTCTTTAGCTGAAAATTTCACTTTTCCATCTGGATCGCGGCATTGCGTGATATTCTGGTGGAATTATGTCACGGGAAAGACAGCTTTCCAGATTCTACTCAGTCGTCTGCCCTCTCTGCGGTTGTCTAAGCAGTACCCCTCCCGGCTTGCAGGTTCAGTTAACCTCGCTACGACCTGTCTATCATCCAAACCCCTTGATTATACTCCGCATGACTCGTTTGATACTCTTTAAAGCTCGCCTACCGGCGACTCTAACATTTGGAGGTTATGGCCTTAGTTTACCGCGGAATATGCCTGTAACGTTTTCCCTGTGTTCATAGAATGAGTCTTCGGAGGAAGTTAGTTCCGTGGAGAGTTCGCGACCCCTCAGACAAATGTTAGAATGATAGTAAGACCTCACTGCAAGTCGGGGATCGGCCTGCTTGACTTTATTGTCGGACTGGATAATATCCAGTTGCATTCCAAAAGATGCTCTCGAATGACCTTTTGATTTGACTCCATGTAAATTTTGAAGTTTTTTTCATAAGATCGTCTTAGGCGGTGAACTCCTTGACAAGTTTCGGGTTTCGCGATTGCTATCCAAAAAATTGGGGACAATCTCATCTCGAGGAGGTCAAATCAACATGCACTCTCACTCCAATAATCCTCTCACAAACCTCTCCTCCTTTTTATCTTCTTGTACTTTAGACAGGCACAGCGTTGGTGCAATGAACCATAAGCGCCATACCGATTGCCAGGGATCGCGAGGCCGCTTCTATGAGTTTGCCGTGCTTAACGCTATCAACTCCGTTCGCATTTCCAATTGCATTTCTCTGTCGCTTAACACGGTTCGTCACCGAGCCAGCGATATACAGACCAGTGGCGTTGTCTCCTAGAAAAGGCCCGCGTGGCTAAGGACGAATTTCTGGTCTGCCTGGGCGAATTTCGACCTTGAGCATGGCGAATTGAATGACGACCACATGCCGTACGAATGTCGTGCGCACTTCGCTGGCCGAATCTGCGATTCAGAAATCAGTGCATACATGGGCGCATCTAGACAAGCACCTCCGCGGCTACTTGACACGCGCGTTCTCCTTTTCATTTATCTGGTTTCTTGCGGACCGTTTTCCTTAGAGTAGCGAAACAAAGCTATGAAGCACCCATGCATGTGAACCTTCGCAGTTGTAGTGTTTGCTCAAATCGCCCAGTAAATTCCTCCCATTTTCTTACTCGTCACCCCTTACGACGACGGAATCAGCCTAAATCGCGATCATCTCTGAATTCCGGGATAACATGGGATGCAAGTAAAGCACTCCACAAATCCATATCTGTTTAAAGCTCAACCCCGCCTTCTCGGTTTTATTCTCCACTTGTGCTCTGTTAGGAGAACTCACGACATAGAGACGCTTCCGTATAAACAAACTTCGAGCTACGTGGTTTACCAGAGTCTTGGACACAGTGACGAGCGAGCAGATCAGCTTTGCCCCAGCTGAGCTCTATCTCCTACTGGTAGGCAACTGCGGTTTTCCTTAGAGTACGAAAATGCTTCCTGACTTTTTCATGGAAATTTAATACGTAGCAGGTCTGGAGTGTCGGTGAAGGCGATGAAAGAAATATTGGCGCTGTTCAGCTCAAAGGGGATCAGGAAGAGCCTTTTTGCTGGATCATTTTACCTAACAGGTCTAATTATTGGTAGTACTCGTGAACTCGTGTGAAGCCGCGAAATGATACAAGTATGTCACTTTGGTTACAGAATTTACAGGTTTTCACAAGGCGACCTGCATAAACACCGCTGGGTTCCGTCTCCCCCCCCCACTCCCTCCATCGAGCCAATTTCTTCTTCTTCTTCCTAGCGTTCTTGTCCAACTGTTGTCGGGACGCTTCTTTGACCAACGCTTTCCAGCGGTCCCTGTAAATAGCCTCGGCTGCGGACAGGCCAGCAGCAGTTATGTCCAGGTTATCTTTGCACCTGCATTCCAGGCCGGCCTTTCGACGTTTACCGGCAAAAATGTTCTTATCAGCGGACTTCGATACAGCATCAGGAGGTCTTCGTTGAACGTGACCATACCAGCGGAGACGAGCTGCGGCAAGGGAGTTGGCAATCGGCTGGACCTTCATGTTGTCTCAGACTGTTTCATTTCGGATTCGGTCGAGTCGTGTATGTTCCAGGAACATTCTGATCTCCATAATTCCTCCATCAAGCCAACGGCCTCTAAATATTAAGTGCTTGGCGGCGACCATCTCCTCTGAGATGTGCTT